GAACGGGAGCTTACGTTTAGCGATTTAGGGAGTACTTCGGCCAAGGCCAACCAAGTAAGTGGCCTTACTATAGAATAGGCTAAATAATTCTATGAGTTATGATGATGTGTGGATTATGATGCTTGATGATATGCGCGGTATATACATATTTTGTTGAGTGACGCTTGATATGTTTGACGCACGTTGTGGCATTATGATGAGCATGATGATTGCATGATTTTTACCTTAATATGATGATGTTTTCCATATTGAGCATGCTAGATGATGATGAGTGCCATATTGCATCATGTCGTTAGATCGACGTAGGACACAACCCTAAGAGCATGAAAATGATATTAATATAAATATCCACGAGTATGCGTTACCTAGAGTAACAAAGAGATGAGACTAGAGGGTTGTGTCAGAAGAGATATTACGATGGATTTAGAGGGACCTCATGCATTTTGTATGTTCATAAGCATAGGGCTACTTCCCCTAGAGATGATAAGTGCGGACGCGCACCTTATGATGAGCGCGAAAGCGCACAGGTGCGAAAGCACACAGATGAGGGTGTTCATGAGGCGCATGACACTATGGGGTTCCGCTGACCTCCGGACGTCGCTACAGATTAGCTTGACCAGAGGGTCCAGGGGGTGTGCGAACGCCCTGGGGACTCACACTCGCACGTGTGAGTCGTGTGTAGGGAAGTACTACACATCCAATTTTTCCGAGACTGGAGGCCACCCCTAAGATGATTAGAGATAGGTCCCTATTCATGATTGCATGTGTTTGCATTAGCATGGCCCCTATAGTGGGGTCACTTACTGAATACTCAGGCCGTGTGCCATATTGTTTTTTTTCAGGTAAAGGCAAGGCGCCCATGTACGGTTGACGGTGGCATCGTGATCAGAGACTGTGGCGCGTGCATAGGATAGATGCATATTTAATTCCTAGTCTTAGTTAGAATAGGGCGTTTGCAATTCATTCATTTATATTAATTAATTTGTAGTCGCTTTATTTTATTTTTTTTTCTTTTTGGAACTCTAGCTCAATGTTTGAAACACGTAAGTCCGGCAGTGTTTTCCAAAGTTTTAATGTATTCTGAAGTTTTAAATTTTTCCGCTATTAAAGATGAGCATGCTTAGATTTTTATTCTGCATTAGAGATGAGCATGAGACGTTAGTGGCGACTCTGGATATGTGGAAATTTAGGGTCGTTACACGAATCTAAGTCTAAGCCACGAGGTTCGACCCTAGAAAGAATAATATGTCACCACGGTAACTGTAGGTAGCCCGCTTGAGTTGAGTAGTGTAGATAGTGTCATCAGAATCTCCAGTTCCCTCTCTCCTCCGATATCGTACCGTCGAGACAGAGCTCCAGTACGGTGATCGTTGAGCTTAGCAGATCAGGATAGGGAAGTGTGACAGGTGCCCAGACCTAGTGGTGATAGCCAAGTGGTCTTCTGAAAAGGACTCCTGGGCCGTAGAAACCCGTCCCTGAGCGTGGGACGTGGAGCCACATAGGATGACTCAGTAGCTGACCGGCACATAGGGGGTCGCACCCCGTTTAGTGGATGTATGGTCCCGTGTGAGGGTCGTCAGTTAACCTCCATGGATGATGTTCAGAGACAGTCACATTTTCAGATCCAGCCATACACTCAGGACACTGATCATTTTGGTGCTTAAGATGGGCAAGCGTCCTAAGATACAGAAAAGAGAGTTGCAGCTTAGATCACTCTTCTTAGAAACCCGAGAAAGATCGTGGTTACCCACCAAGATAAGGATGCGAAAAGAGCCTACAAGTAGGCTACTTACTGAGTATTTTTATATTCATTCCTTTCTACTCTTTTTTTTTCAGGTGAGTGATGCCATGGATCGAGGCGGGAATGCATGTTGAATCTTAATGCCACAGAGGAGTGTCCCGAGGCGTCTAGGAGTCTGTGCATAATTTTGTTTAGATTTGTCATGCATTGTTTTGTAAACCATTTACATACTTTTCATACTTGAACACCTTGTTTTGGATTTTAAACCTTTTATATAATTGATAAAGTTTTTTTTTGTAATCTCGTCTTCTCTATTTGTTTTTACACGATTTCATTGCATAGTCTGTTGGTCCAGCCCTTGATTTCGAGATTCAAATTTTGGGCTGTGACAGAGAAGTTGTTGTTGGTGCATTGTCGATTAGGGTTTTAGGGTGTTGCGGGTTTGGAAGACGAGCACCGGATCAGGTCGGATACCCGCGGACACAACTCCTGCTTCCAGTCCTCAGGCCGTATGAAGACACGGGCTGTAATTGCTTTCGGCCCAAACGGGATCTGCATTCATTTTGGCTCAACTTAGACACACGTCTGTAGTGCATTTTCTCAGCTTCGCACGTATATACATGGCTCGACTCCTCCATCGGACTTCCTCAGCTTGACGGCAGCTTGGCTTGTCAGCTCGGTATACCCACAATATACCGATTTCTAGGTTTACGGCCCTTTCAAAGCCGTTTCTACCCTTGTTTTTGCATTCTAAGGTTAATATAACTCTTAATAGTCAACTTAAATTATGTTAGGTGTTTACCTTGATAACTAACATGAGGTTTAGCTAGGATGTGTTATGAAAGATTCCTAAATATGTTATGTGGTTCTTATAGGACGTAATTAACGGTTGGAATTAGCTTGTTGTGAGTGACTTTGGCCAAGGCCATCGAGGTAAGTGACTTTACTATTGGAGTTAGTTAATTATGTGTTGTATGATGATGTGTGCTCTATGGCCCCTGCATGCACCATATTATATGTGATATGACTATGTGACACATGAATTAGATTGACTGGTGATGTTATGAAAATTTATGATTGATATGTTAGTACTATATGCCATGAAAGTGATGATTGTTGCATGTATGCACGTAATATAACTGAATTATGTCATGAAATGCTTATGGAATTGAATCGTATTTTCATATTAAGTAATATGCCATGTAAGGTAAGTTATGAGACCTCATGCATGTTTATATGTCATCTGCATTGGGATACTTTCTCTTTATGTCATGAAAGAATGAAATTTGATATTTATGTTCTCCATGATATCATGTGGGACTTTTCTGTTCTGTGGTGTCTAGTGACGTATAATACGTTGTGCCCGACCAAGCCAGGCCTAGGGGTACGTATACGAGCCCACTTGGTGGGTTCATGTGCGCGTACATGGGCCTCGTGTGGAGAAATACCACACATCCAACCCTACCCAGAATAGAAAAGCACCCAGGCAAGTTTACAAAAGTTAGGTCCCACTCATATGTTGCATGTGTTTGCATTTCTAACCCCAATAGTGGGATGACTTACTGAGTATTTCATAAAATACTCAAGTCACGTGCTACCTTCATTTTTCAGGTAAAGGCAAGGCGCCGATGTATGGCTGACGATGGAGCTGAGGTTACCATGAAAGACTAAAGAGAGGGCATAGTTACCCGTTTATGTTTTTATTTGGGTTTTTAAGTTAGATCATTGAACGTTCGTTTTATTTAAATTTCCTAATTCAGTTATTGAATGTTTTCGTTTCGGAGTTATCTTTAGTTCACATTTTGAACCTTTATGTAAGACTGATGTTGTTTCCAAGACTATTTATGTTGAATTTTTCGTTTAAAGATCTATGCATGTACGGATGATGTCACTAATTAGGTTAAGAAAATTAGAGGCGTTACAAAGTACCTTTTCTGCAGCCAGAATCAATATACCAACAATCTTATTAGCCATCTTCCTCCTTTTTTGCACCCGTGCAAGCCATCAGTAAAATCTCTTTTTTTGTCTTTGTATAGTTTGTCACTTCATTCTTACTTGCACATTGTCATTGGAAGCCCAAATTTGGGACAATTGTAGCATTCTACTATGGCTTTCTCGAAGTTTTGCCTACCTCTTCCACGTCCCCTTCCTTTGAAACTTCCACGACCTCGACCCCTTCCTCCTGACTGATCTCCATTTGTCACTTTCAAGGCATGTTCCTCATTGATGTGAGAATGCATGCATTGTTCATGAACAAGTAGGCTGCTTTGCAATTCATCAATGGTTAAAGTATCTATATCTTTAGATTCCTCAATGGAACAAACCACATAATCAAGTTTGGAAGTCATAAATCTTAAAATCTTTTCCCAAACAGCAACGCAACGTCTCCTTTTCTTTCAACGTTTTCTTTAATTTTATTTGTTATTGCAAGTGTTCGAGCAAAATATTCATTTACAGATTCTCTTGTCTTCATTTGAAGAATTTCAAATTCCATTCTGAGTGTTTGCTTGTGCAAGCTTGACCCTAGTTGTTCCTTGATATTTTTTCTTCATAGAGTCCCATATGTCCTTCGTTGTATCCTTGTTTAGAATCGTTTTTAGAATTGAACGATCTAATGCTTGGAAAAGATAATACTTGGCCTTCAAATCTTTCAGCTTCTGATCATCAATGCTCTTCTGTTGTGCATCAGTAGATCCTCCTGCTACTGCAGAAATTTCATTTTCTACTAAATCCAAATAATCCTTTGATCGCGAAAAGTTCTCCATGAGCATTGCCAAGTGATCATAATGCCCCCTTAAACTTTGGGATGACTGGATGTACAAAAGAGCTTTCTGTAGACATCCTGAAGATTGCTACTTCAAATTTTAATCACATCCCTTACTATGGCTCTAATACCAAATGATGAAATTAAAGAAATAATAGCAGAGAAAAGTAAGTTTTGGAAGGAAAAATGATCTATTATTGAATGGGAAACTACCAGACTATTAAATAGTCATTTATAACAAAACAAAAGAAACGATAAATAAGGAGTCTACTCTAACTAACTTCTAAGAGTTAAAGTCCTATTCTAAAGTACAGAGTTCTACAAAAGTGAGACTTTATTTAGACTAAGTAAACAAACACGACCTACTTTATAATCGTTACAAGTGATTTGATCTAAATCGTTCATGTAGAGACATGTAAGTGGGGGTATTCTATACAATGAGTTTGATAAGGATCACGGTGTTCAAAATGTTTCAATTGGACATATTACACGATCCAAGGCCAAGATGATTCAACAAGCATTCATTCTTCATCTACAAAATTGGATAGGCTTGATTCAACCATTATCTCATGTATTACAAGGTGATTTGATTGAGGAAGGACCATTTGAAGCTTCACAAGTGAATATTTGCATGGTTGAAGTAGGGGATGAAGTTGCTTGCACTTGATTGATAAGTTGTTAGAAAACTTTATTTATTATTTTTAATTTCATAATTATTGCATGGGCAAAAGGGTGGAAGTCATTGGTTAAATTGACTTCTTTTTTTTTTTTTTTGAGATTTAAGGGATCCGAAATAAATTTTGGTCGTAACTTCCTTATGAACATTTGAAAAATTGAAAATTTCTTTTGTGAGTAACTATAAATACCCACAAATTATTACATAAAAAAGAGATTGTGAATGAATGAATTTGAGATCTCAAATTGAGACTTTCACCTTTCGAAATTTGAGCATTATCTTTGTCATTTCTAAGTTTCATGCAATTCTTGTGGTAGATTGCATCTGAGCTCTAGATCTTTGATCGTAAGAAGTAATCTAATTCTAGCCTTATATCTTGGATTATCCGAATTTTGTACAAGGAGGTGTTAATTTTATTGATTCAACCGTTTTTGCTTCCACAAAAACATGAATTGTTGGGATTAGGGTGGCCTTATCAATTTGATATCATAGCCTAGGTTGCATCTTAGTGGCCTACTCTAGAATTCATTTTATTTTTCGTTTATGCTATTGTTTTTCTTTTCTTCAAATCTGTCCATTTATTCTGTGGCCGCGAGTTCAACCATTCTTTATAAGCTTCTCACTTTATTCTCATTTTATTACTGTAGATCATATTTAGATCTTAAAAAAAAAAAAAGAATCCCTGTCATATTGTTCTTAATATTGTGGTTATAAATCCTTGTCATTAGACAATTTGCATGTTTATTTTAATATCAAATAAACTCCAGTTGACATTTTTTCTAAATCATCTAAATTTGGAACCATTGTGTTGATATTGTTCTTTCACCCTTTTAGCGGGACATAGTCCTAGGGGAAGGAGGAGATGTTGGTCGAGGGAGACGAAGAGGTAGAGAAGGGGTAGAGAAATTTTAGCACAAAAAAGAAGTGAGAGAGAGTATCAATATAAGAGAGGAGAAGAAGAAGGAGTCAAGGGAGTAAAGCTTCCAACTTTCTACGGGAGATCTGATCTAGAAGAGTATTTGCAATATGAGAGCAAAATTGAGCATGTTTTTTATTGCAACAATTTCAGTGAAGAAATAAAGTTGAAGCTTTCTATGGCTGAATTTTGTGATTTTGTAATTATGGTGGACATCTTTGATATCAGAGTGGAGGAGAAATTATGAAGAACCAATTGAAATGTGGGAGAAATTTAACTTATTAATGAGAAAAATGTACATTCCTAAGCATTATTCTCGAGTACTCAAGGAAAAACTGTATACAATGCAATAGGGATCCAAGAGTGTTGAAGAATATTACAAAGAAATGGAGGTCTTTATGAATAGAGCATGCATTGATGAAGACAACGATGATATAATGGCCAGATTCCTTGGTGGGTTAAACACACAACTTGCTCATCAAGTGGATAGGCAAGCATACTTTGATATGCAAGAATTGTTACACCTTGCTCTGAAAATAGAAGGGCAACTAGCTTGGGAGAAGAACTCCAAGAGGTATGCTATTCCTAAGTCTACAACTTTCAACACTTGGAAAAAGGATGCAAATATTAAAAAGATAGATTTCAAGGTTAGAGGAAAGTATGAGCTTGACAAAAAGAACAAAGTTGAGACCTCAAAGGGTAAAGAGAAAGTTGAGGAAAACAAGGAGGTTGGAGAAAGAAATAGAGACATCAAATCTTTGAAATGTCAAGAAATTGGTCATATTAGTGGTGATTGTCCTAACAAGAGAGTCATGACCATCAAGAATGGACAAGCTGTCACAGATACTGAGGAAAGTGACTAGGATGAGCTAGTTGAAGAAGAAAACCAGGAGAATGATGAAGAATTGG